TGAATTGTAGGCACAGTCCTTCACAAAATATAGAGTCTTGGTCCCAATAGAAAAGAAGACAGGGCTGGGATTGTGGCTCAGTGGTGGAACACTCGCCTAGCATGGGCGGGACCCAGGTTTTATCCTCAGCACCACATAAAAATAAAGGCATTGTGTGGTGTCCATCTACACCTAAAAAATAAATATTAAAAAAATATTTTTTAAAAAAAAAGAAAGAAAAGAAGACAAAGGTGCTACGGTAAATTGGTTATCCCAAAAGAGCCAGAAGTGGGGTTGCGACTATTCAAATTCATACTGGCCAGAGAATGCCCAGTAATGGTAACCAGGGCTCCAGTCAAGTGACTGATTTATCAATACCACCTACCCTGCCTTACTGCCTGGACCCCCAAACCCTCTGAATGCTGCTGAAGTGAGAGAAGCAAACTATCTTTATATCTTTAGGGCCTGTCTACACATTAGCTGGGCAGACTCTGCTTAGCATCCACCCTAGATCCAGCCACAGAGGGCTACTTTGCTTCAGGGTGTGTTCCCTGACTTGGTGATGAGTGCATCTTTGGGACATTCTCTGGACTACATTTCTGCAATATTCAAAAAGAGAAAGTTAAAAATGAGGAATTGGGGGTTAGGGGTATAATTCAGCATTAGAAAATGTGTTTAGCAGACACAAAGTCCTGTGATCAATTCTTAGCACTAAGAACTCTGCCCCTCATGAGATTTTCCAAAAATGAGGTGTCTTTTTACAGTTATTAAGTTAGTAAAGACTAATAAACATCGTACATGATGGAGCGAGACACTGCCTATAGTTGCTGGTATCAGTGGAGATAGTCATAAGGCCTTAGGAAATCACTGTGTTCCTGTCATCCAGGTTGGTATCTATCCTTAATTAGACACCAATAACTAAGAATGTAATAATCACTGATAATTCTAGATTAGCCTGAGGGAAGAAATGATTAGCTTTGTACTTGAGAATCATAATCATAAACGTGATTTGACTCATAAATCTCATCTCTGAAAATTGAGGAAATAAATGAAAAAAAGAAGAAACATCATTAGTTATGAAGAAGTCAACCAAAACTTAGTTATAACAATAAAATATTGAAAACCAGTTCAGCTATTAGTATCAGGAGAGTAGAAGATCCATCGCTCTGTGGGTCATAATCAAAGATAAATGTGCTAGGGCTGGGGTTGTGGCTCAGTGGTAAAGCGTTTGCCTAGCATATGAGAGGCACTGGGTTCAATCCTCAGCACCACGTAAAAATAAATAAAATAAAAGGTCTTGTGTCCAATTACAACTAAAAAATTTTTCAAAAAATAAGATAAATGAGGGCTGGGGTTGTGGTCCAGCAGTAGAACACTCTCCTTGCATGTGCGAAACCCTGGGTTCGATCCTCAGCACCACATAAAAATATATGAATGAAATAAAGGTATTGTGTCCATCTACAACTAAAAAAAATGTAAAAAAAAATAAGATAAATGTGCTGATCAGAGATTGAAAGCAGCAAAGAGTGTTTGTTAAAGGACTTAAAATCAGCACACTATAGTGATGCAGCCACATCAATGTTTATAGCAGCTCAWWTCACAATAGCTAGACTATGGAACCAACCTAGGTGTCCCTCAATAGATGAATGAATAAAGAAAATGTGGTATATATACTCAATGGAATATTACTCAGCTTTAAAGAAGAGTGAGGGGAGGGGAGGGGAGGGGAGGGGGGATAGTAGAGGATAGGAAAGGCAGCAGAATACAACATACACTAGTATGGCAGTATGTAAAAAAGTGGATGTGTAACCGATGTGATTCTGCAATATGTATACGGGGTAAAAATGGGTGTTCATAATCCGCTTGAATCAAATGTATGAAATATGATATGTCAAGAGCTTTGTAATGTTTTGAACAACTAATAATAAAAAAATTTTAAAAAATGAGTAAAAAAAATAAAGAAGAGTGAAATTAGGGCATTTGCCAGTAAATGGTTGGAATTGGAGAATATCATGCTAAGCGAAATAAGCCAATCCCACAAAACCAAAAGCCAAATGTTTTCTCTAATGTGGATGCTAATTCACAATAAGGCAGAGGTGGGGCACTAGAGAAGAATAGTGTTACCTTAGATTAGGTAGAGGGAAGTGATGGGAGGGTAGGGTAGGGGATGTGGGGATAGGAAAGGTAGTAGAAAGAAACAGACATTATTACTGTATGTATATATGTGACTACATGACTAATATGACTCTGCAACATGTACATTCAGAAAAATGAGAAATTATATTCCATCTATGTATGATATATCAAAGTGCATAAATGCATTCTACTGTCATGTATAACTAATTAAAACAAATAAAAAATTTTTAAAAAGTCAAGGGGAAGCTAGGCACTGAAGCACATGCCTGTAATCCCAGCAACTCAGGAGGCAGAGGCAGTAGGGATTGCAAGTTCAAGGCCAACCTGGGGGGCAATTTAGTGAGATCCTATCTCAAAAATAAAAAGGGCTGGGGCTGGGATTATGATTCAGCGTAGAGCGCTCACCTAGCACGAGTGGGACCTGGGTTTGATCCTCAGTACCACATAAAAATAAAGGCATTGTGTTGTGTCCATCCGTACCTACAAAATAAATATAAAAAAATAAAATAAAAAGGGCTGGCTGAGCATGGTGGTGCACTCCTGTAATCCCAGCAGTTTAAGAGGCTGAGGCAGGAGGATCGCAAGGTCAAAGCCAGCCTCAGCAACTTAGTGAGGCCCTAAACAACTCAGTGTGAGCCTGTCTCTAAATAAAGTATGAAAAAGGACTGGGGATGTGGCTCAGTGGTTAAGTGACCCTGGATTCAATCCCTGGTACTAGATAGATAGATAGATAGATAGATAGATAGATAGATAGATAGATAGATAGATAGATAGGGCTGGGGGTGAAGCTCAGTGGTAGAGCACCCCTGGATTCAACAGTCAACCCCCAGTACTGAAAAAAAATGGGAAAGCAGGATGCCCCAGTGTACGTATCATGTAATCACAACTTGACACATATGCCAGGGTGAGACCTGGAGGGACAGGTGCACAGCAGATGGTAAGATTTTGTGTTGTTTTATATCCCACATCAGACCATGCTGCTTTCACATTTTTGGTGTTTCAAGAAAGACCCCTCGAGACCATAAACTTGAGCTGCATCTATCTGTGGTATTGGGCTGGAAGCAGCTGGGCTCTGGTGGCATGGGCAGAGATAGGAGCTGACATATGGAAGACCTACTGCAGCAGGTAAGGAGCCCGTGACCTAGTACATGTGGTCCTGGTAAGCCAATTGAGTGATTTCTTGCCATCAGCGTTCTTTCTTGCTTTCTTTCTCATTTTTTTCTTTTCTCTTTCACTGGTAATTGAAAACAGTGCCTTGCACGTGCTCCACAAGTGCTCTGTAACTGTTTTACATCCTTTTTATTTTGAGACACTCTTGCTAAGTTGCCCAGGCTGGCCTTGCAATCCTCTTGCAGCAAACTCCTGAGTAGTTTTGATCACAAGCAAGTGCAACTGCCTTTAGCAAAGGTTCTTGACCCAGACATGTGCTGGCTACATGTGCTTGGGTCTAAAACTTTTAGGAGTGTCCTCAATCAGTGACCAGTGTAGGTAGGAAAAATGCCCACATCTTTGTTCTTTGGAAGGAACACTCTGGAGTGGGTTCCTATCATCTCTTGAAGGTTCCTAGGGACAGCAGCTCTTCTTGAATCACTTCAGTTGTCTTCCTTCCAACCTCTAGCTCTACCTTTTCATCTACTACTGTCACCTGGGGTCATCTTCCAAATAAATTGTTCGCACTGGGATCTTTGTCTTGGGGTCTGTTTCTGTTTCTGGAGGAACTGAATGATAACCTAAGACAGACAGAAAGAGACTAGGTTCATGGTGCCAGCCATGGAACAAGGAGAGAGCCAGGAGGTACTAGAGGAGAGTCATCCCTGTACAAAGGCAGGCCTCTTTTGTCTACACCCAGGCTGAACAGCTCTTCCAATCAGGGTCCATGGAACACAGGAGACAGGTGGGGTGACAAGAGTACGGAGTAAGTTCCTCTCTACAGCTATCTTGGGCAGGTGGCCACATAAATGGCCTTGCAGCATTATCAGCAGCTCAGACTTGGCAATAGGGGCCAAGGTCCTGGCCCATCCTGGTGATAGCAGGATCCCAAGGGAGGCCTCAAAGATCCCTATCAGTGGGGAACAGATGGTATATACCATGTGCCAGAACCCTGGTTTTGGGGGGACACCACCCAGGAATCCCAGCCAGGGTTGGCCAGTGGGACAGGCCTGGTCCAGGGACAAAGGAGAGATGTGAGAGGAGGAGAAGAGGAACGGTGAGGTGAACAGAGGAAAGTCTTAAATCTCTGTCCTCTGTCAGGCTCTGGAGTGAGCCATTCATTCTCCCAGTTGCCTGGAGGGGACTTTCGTCACTATATCACGTCACTATATCACGCCACTTTAACTGTCTCTTTGTTATCTGGCTGTTTTAATATTAATTAACAACAGTTGCCAAGGATAACAGTGCAGAGGGTGTGTCTCAAGGCATGGTTGTCCCTGGTTCCAAGAGGAGTGGGACAGAAAGGAAGTTTGAGGCTATTCCAGGGATCGTGTACACATTCCAGGAGCTGTGCTAAGCCCCAAGGCCAGAGCCTGGCCAGTTCATGGTTCCACCTCTGCCCCCTGCTCCAGTGCCAACTCCAACAGGGGCTAAGTAAGGGTGGGGGATGAACCATGGGTCTCTGTCCCAGCTGGCTTAGTCTTCCTAAGGCTTCAGTAGCATTGGAAAGTGAGTGGGGACCCCAAGCACCTTCACAAAGAGGCTCAACTAAGTCGGGAGGGCATGGAACAGGGCCAGTTGGTGGGAGGGATAAAATCAGGTAGATCATTAACCAGCAGGGCTCAGTCCTATTGGTTCCAATCAGCCAGGCCAGAGCTGTTACTTAGGGATAGGAGACTGACTTAATGCATATTCCTAGGGGCCATCCCTCTGTTGTCTCCAGCTGTTCCTGTTTCCTGCTGATTCCTGTCCTGCCCTAGGATGGTGGCTAGCCTCCAGGACTGTCTGCTCTGGGGCCTGCTCCTGCACTTGGTGAGTCCAGTGCTCATGGCAACCCCCTACTGCCTTCCTTGGGGCCTAGGCCAGCTGGGTAGCAGGCAGAGGCTGCTGGGTGACAGTGAGAGAGGGCCTCAGGGCCTGGAGGGAGTCCCAGGCCCCACAGAGGAGGGTTGCTAGTAGAAGGTCTCCAATCACAGAATTGAAGAGACACAAGGTCAGGAGAGGCAGCTGGATAAAGTCCATGACCCTGTGGTAGAGTCTTGGCCTATAATTAAGGGAGAACTGAGTCAAGGAGGTGTTAAGGGGATGGGGTCCTGGAAAGTATTACCTGGAGCATCCAGAGGTTGGGAGGAAGTCTGGCTTTCACCTGTTAAGGTCTTAATTTACTTTCAAGTCTGGGAGGTAAGTGATGACATTTGGCTTAAGCAGAGAGTGGGACAGGGAGATCCTGCACAGACTCTCCGCAAGAGCCTTAGCCACTGATGTGATAGGGAGGAAGTTCAACAGGTTTATGAACACCTTGGAATTGACTCCATCAGCCCTAACCTCAGCAGTGTGACCTTCCTAAACTGTAGTCGACAGGGTTACCTCCTTCTTTGAGTGACCCTGTCACTTCCAGGAAGAGTGGTTTGACTGCACCTCCGTCAACACTCTAGGTCCAGCACATGCCTCCAGGAGGCTTCCCACAGCCCCCTGCTCTGTGTCCCTTTTTCCCCCACACTCTCCTTAGCAGCTCACTGCCTAGACAGTGACTGGCCTCAGGGTTCATGCATGATGTCTCTCTGTTCTGCAGGTCCAGGGTGAGCTGTACACACCCCTCCACCAGGCTGGCTACTGTGCCTTCTATGATGAATGTGGAAAGAACCCAGAGTTGTCTGGAGGCCTCATATCACTGTCCAATGTGTCCTGCCTGTCCAACACACCGGCCCGCCATGTCACAGGTAACCATTTGACCCTCCTCCAGCGTATCTGTCCCCGCCTCTACAATGGCCCAAACAACACCTATGCCTGCTGCTCTGCCAAGCAACTAGTGGCACTGGAAACGAGCATGTCTATCACCAAAGCTCTGCTCACCCGTTGCCCAGCCTGCTCTGACAACTTTGCAAATCTGCACTGCCATAACACCTGCAGCCCCAACCAAAGCCTCTTCATCAATGTCACCCGTGTTGCCCCAGTGGGCACAGACCATCCCCCTGCTGTGGTGGCCTATGATGCCTTCTACCAGCGCAGCTTTGCGGAGGAGACCTATGAGTCCTGTAGCCGTGTGCACATCCCTGCTGCTGCCTCACTGGCTGTGGGCAGCATGTGTGGCGTATATGGTTCTGCCCTTTGTAATGCTCAACGCTGGCTCGACTTCCAGGGAGATGTATCGAATGGCCTGGCTCCGTTGGACATTACCTTCCACCTCGTGGAGCCTGGCCAGGACCAAGGGAGTGGGATCCAGCCACTGAATGGGGAAATCTCACCCTGCAATGAGACCCAGGACAATGGCATGACAGCCTGCTCCTGCCAAGACTGTGCTGCATCCTGTCCTGTCATTGCTCACCCCAGCGATCTGACCCCTTTCTTCTACATGGGTCGGATGCCGGGCTGGCTGGTCCTCATCATCATTTTCTGCTCTGTTTTTGTGTTGCTTAACACTGTCCTTGCACGCCTTCGGGTGGTTTCCAACAAGGACAAAGGCAAGATGGAGGAGCCCCAGGCAGCCCCCAGCCTCTCTCACAAGCGCAGCCTCTCCCCCCACACCCTACTTGGCAAGTTCTTTGAGAGCTGGGGCACAAGGGTAGCTTCATGGCCACTGACCATCCTGGCAGTATCCATCATGGGAGTGGTAGCCTTGACAACTGGCATGATGTTCTTAGAACTCACCACCGATCCTGTGGAACTGTGGTCAGCCACCAAAAGCCAAGTCCGGAAGGAAAAGGCTTTCCATGACCAGCATTTTGGCCCCTTCTTCCGAACAAACCAGGTTTTTCTGACCGCTCCTAACCGGTCCAGCTACAGATATGACTCCCTGCTGCTAGGGCCCAAGAACTTCAGTGGAATCCTGTCTCTGGACCTGCTGCTGGAGGTGCTGGACCTACAGGAGAGGCTGAGGCACCTGCAGGTGTGGTCAGCTGAGGAGCAACGAAATATCTCCCTGCAGGACATCTGCTATGCCCCTCTTAATCCGCACAATGCCAGCCTCTCTGATTGCTGTGTTAATAGCTTGCTGCAATACTTCCAGAATAACCGTACACTGCTGCTGCTCACAGCTAACCAGACGCTGATGGGCCAGACTTCCCAGGTGGACTGGAGGGACCACTATCTCTACTGTGCCAAGTGAGTCCTTCATGGGTCCAAAGGTAGGAACAGGTAGGGCTACCACAGACTCTTAGGAACTGGCTAACAACACAGCCCTACCCTATTTATATCTCTGTACTTGGGCTATCATGTGCCTGATTCTGCACTCCTCTGACCCATATTCTCCTTTGTTGGAGTTCCAGCTTCTTGGAGCAGATTTGCATGTGGCTATCCAGTCCCTCTAGTTCCAATTCCACTTGATYTTTCTGTGGAGATCTTGGCAGGGTCTTGGTTTAAGTCTTCAAAGGAATCAGATTGGCCCAGCTCATGTTTATGTATGTATTGTTCTACTTTTTTTTTGCCTCTGTACCTGGCTTCACAGGGCCAGGAATGACTTAGGGTGAATAGAGAAAGGTGCTCTCAGGACAGGACAGAGCTGTGGTTTGTTTCAGGCCACAGGCACAGGGCAGGGAGTCTCAGTGCTGGTCTCAGCCACACTTTTATTTTGTTTGGAGTTTGGTCCCTGGCCCCGCCCATTTTGAATGGTACAAATAGGATGTGAACAAGGCCATTGGGCAGAGGAAAAGCAGCAGGAGTTCCCAGTAGTAGAGGCTGAGGTGGCAGTGGACAGAGTTCCTCAAAGTGGACTTCAAGAACAAATGAGAGCTAAAGTAGCCAACAGTATATTTGTGCTAATATGAAAATATTTTTTTCTTTTATTTTTAATTGATTTTAAAAAAATAAATGACAGCAGAATGCATTACAATTCTTATTACACTTATACAGCACAATTTTTCATATCTCTGGTTATATTTAAAGTATGTTCACACCAATTCATGTCTTCATACATGTACTTTGGATAATGATGTTCATTCATATTTCACCATCCTTGCTAACTCCCTGCCCTCTCCCTTCCCCTCCCACCTCTCTGTCCTGTCTAGAGTTCATCTATTCCTCCCATGTTTCCCCTCCCTGTTCCATGAAAACAGTTTTTTTTTAAAAATATTTTTTAGTTTTTGAGGGACCTTTATTTTATTTATTTGTATGTGGTGCTGAGAATCAAACCCAGCTCCTCATGCATGCTAGGCAAGCATGTTACCACTGAGCCACAACCCCAGTCCCTGAAAATAGTTTTTTCAAAAAATATTTTTTAGTTGTAGATGCACATAATACCTTTATTTATTTATTTGTTTATTTATTTATTTTTAAAATGTAGTGCTGAGAATCTAACCCAGTGCCTCACCCATGCCAGGCAAGCACTCTACCACTGAGCCACAACCCCAGTCCCTGAAAATAGTTTTTTCAAAAAATATTTTTTAGTTGTAGATGCACATAATACCTTTATTTATTTATTTGTTTATTTATTTATTTTTAAAATGTAGTGCTGAGAATCTAACCCAGTGCCTCACCCATGCCAGGCAAGCACTCTACCACTGAGCCACAACCCCAGCCCTGAAAATAGTTTTGACCTTGCAGTCTCTGGCAAGAGACTCCAGAACTCCTGGGATCCCAGTCCACACAATATTTGAGATCTACTGGATTAGATGAAAGTGCCAATGGCTTCTGCCTCCTCCTTCCTGCTACTGGCTTTTTATCCTTGACCAATCCCCAAGTGTAGGCTGCTTCCCAGAGTGTCTGTGCCACAAGCCAGATACTAACTGTCCCTCAGAAATGGCAGAACAGAGAGGAGCTATTCTCTGCCTTGGGGGACATCAGTGATCAGATGTACTGCTGTTGTATATTATTTTAATTTTGCATGCTTGCAACTCTTGAGTGATCTGATTATGCCCATTTCATATACAGGAAAAAAGGCTAAGAGGAGTATGGTGTGCACTCAAGGTCACACAGCAGCCAGAACTCCCAGGAGGAGCTGGTGACCTACACACTTACTTGCTCAGAGCCCAGAAAGCAAGTAGAGAGCTTTGTATCCTATTGTATTTCCACAAAAATATACTCCACAGAAAGGGTTAAGTTGAAGGGGACAGGCCTGCCCAAAGGTAATAGTCTTTGTACACACAGATTCTGGGCTCTGGGACCCAGAATCTTAATACAGCATCTATAGGGTTTGAGGTCTGAATGGGAGAAAGAAGCCAACAAGTGGTACTGAGACCAGTGCAGGACACCATGGCTCAAGTCCTGACTCCCAACCCCTATGCTCATCTGTGAATGGCAGGCATGGAAGGTCTGGCTGCGCAAGGGGATGTGGGAAGCACAGACTCAGCCTTCAGCCCCTGCCTGGCACAGAAAGGTGCTTAAGGGCAGCTTTACCATTGAAGGTTGGGGCCTAAATGCAATATTTTTGGTTGTGAGCCATTAGGGACTCACTGGGCCAGGCAATCAGCAGCTAGTGTTCCTCTAGGGTACAGTGGACCTGGGATGGGGTGGGCCTGAATGAACCTAGGCAGGGCCAGGAAAAGCTCTTTCTTCTTGTGGTCTCCTTACAGTGCCCCTCTCACCTTCAAAGATGGCACAGCCCTGGCCCTGAGCTGCATAGCTGACTATGGGGCCCCTGTCTTCCCTTTCCTCGCTGTAGGGGGGTACCAAGGTAAGCTTGGTGGGCCCTGGGAGGCCAAGGAAGTGGCAATATTTGGGCAGGAACAATTGGTGGGGGTGGGGGTGATGGGTGTTCTAATTGCCTTGTAGTGGCCTGGTTTGTGGGGGCTGCAGATGAGCTGTACTGCCTCCCCTCTCTGTCACCCCGTTTTCTCAGGGGCTCTGGTTTTGTGCCTATGCCCAAAGAGTTTGCATTTGGCTTAGAGAGGGAAGTGGGTGTGAGGGAAAGGTCATGAGCAATGGAAGGAGCAGGTGTGGAGAGGAGGGGAGGGAAACTGGGATGTAGCTGGAGGTGGAGAAAGGCAGGGGTGCAACTGCAAAAGGGCTGGATGTTACTTATCACAGGTAAGGACTTTTCTGAGGCAGAGGCCCTGGTCATGACCTTCTCCATCAACAACTATCCTGCTGAGGACCCCCGACTGGCCCAGGCCAAGCTCTGGGAGGAGGCCTTCATAGAGGAGATGCGAGCCTTCCAGCATAGGATGGCGGGCACATTCCAAGTTGCTTTCATGGCTGAGGTAGGAGCTCAGAGACTTTGGCTCTGCAGTTACAATCCCAGTGATGTTGGGTCAGTTCCCATGTCCCTGTCCTAGTCCTGCCCCTTCCTGGGTGGCTCTAGGAAGTGAATGCCCACCCAGACAGGGTGTTTGTGATGGCCATTCCTGGAACCTCACTTGGGCTCCAAGCAGGTCACCCAGTACCTGGATCAACATGTAGATAGTGGGCTGGCTGGTATGTTTGCAGCGTTCTCTGGAGGATGAAATCAACCGTACTACCATCAAGGACCTGCCCGTCTTTGCCATCAGCTACATCGTCATCTTTGCGTACATCTCTCTGGCCCTGGGCAGCTACTCCAACTGGAAACGAGTGGTGGTGAGAGTCAGATGGACACAGCAAGGGGTCCCGGAGTCTGGGACCTCTCCAGCCAATCTTCTAAAACCTTCCTAACCAGGGTACCTCAAAATAGTAAGGTGGACACATCCAAAAAGTCTCTCCCAAAGGGTGATATTTCTTGGAAGTGTTTTATGTTCAAAGGTCAAGAATTTTCGTTCTGCTCCCTGACATATCTCCACTTGTCCAGATGCAAAGCTAATAGTTAAAACTTCTTGCAACAAGGACTCCAAGATGTGGCAGGTGTACCTGTGCTTTTGGGTACAGTAGGCCTGTCTTAGGAGTATGGCTCTACAGAGGGGCATCAATGCAGACATAAGTTCCCTGAGRTAGGCGTCACTGAGTACCTGCGAGTACTAAGGGTGCCTGCCTGCCTCAGCCCAGGGAGTGGGGAGGATAGGTCCTCGGGTGTCCAGGAGATTGAACCTAGTTGCTTTGCAGGTGGAGTCCAAGGCCACCCTGGGCCTGGGTGGGGTGGTCATAGTGCTGGGAGCAGTCACGGCTGCCATGGGCTTCTTCGCCTACCTGGGCATCCCCTCCTCCCTGGTCATCCTCCAAGTAGTACCTTTCCTGGTGCTGGCTGTGGGAGCTGACAACATCTTCATCTTTGTTCTGGAGTACCAGGTAAGAAGGGAGGAGTTCTCCACTCCCACATGCATCCCCAACATCCCCACCAGACAGAACCTCACATCGAGTTTTTTCTTTTTTTTTTTTTTTTGCTGGGCATTTTTGTAGACTCTTCTATACACCAACACTCAGGTTTATACCTCTAGAAAATAGCATGTATTGACATGTACACATTCATTTGGAACTTGTTTTCTGTTAAACTTATGGAACATCTGGGGAAAGTTTTCTGTGTTAGCAATATTAACCACAATAAGCACAAATCAGAGTCCATTTGGCCACTCACTACAGGCAAATGTTTAGGGTTATGGGGATGATTGGAATAAGCACATTATTGATATCCTGGAGCATTTCTCCAGGCCAGATCTTGGAAGCAAAATGTGCTTCTGTAGAGTGTTAGCAGTGTCAGTCCCTGACTTGAGAAGGTCAATTCTCAGGCCAATTCTTAGGCCTAGTCAAGTCTATGAGCACCTACTAGCCTACTGCTGATCTTTGAGGGCCAATGCCCTTAGTAGATCCTGGACCCTCTGCCTACTGTTCCCCACAGCGGCTGCCTCGAATGCCTGGGGAGCAGCGAGAGGCCCACATTGGCAGAGCCCTAGGCAGTGTGGCCCCCAGCATGCTGCTGTGCAGCCTCTCAGAGGCCATCTGCTTCTTCCTAGGTGAGTTGAGAAAAACTCTCCTCCAGGTGCTAGCCCTCTGGGTTGGTACTAGGAGCCAGAAGTTCTCGAGGGCAGTGGGTGCCAGCAGACCCCTTCCCTGTAAAGCCACCCACTCTGCCTGTGATGCTAGGATACTCTGACAATCCCCTCCCTAACACAGGGGCCCTGACTCACATGCCAGCTGTGCAAACCTTTGCTTTGACCTCTGGCCTTGCAATCATCCTTGACTTCCTGCTGCAGATGACAGCCTTTGTGGCCCTGCTTTCCCTGGACAGCAAGAGGCAGGAGGTAGGGTCAGTTGGGTTAGGACCAAGGGACCTACTCTGACTGGGTCCCCACCTTGGTTGCAAGATGTGGTCTCATTGCCACACAGATGGTCCAGAGAGTGGGGGGGGGTGGATATTATGCTGACAGAGGTTACTGTTGGGGCCATGTATTAAAATTTCCCATGGAAAGATAATTTCTTTTTGGTAACTCTTGGAAATAAGATAAAATCTCCTGAAGTACACAAGGTTGTAAAATAAAACATAAATGAGAAGTTAACACAAGTTAGTTGGTGGTTCTGTGATGGGTGTAAAATTCAGATATCTGATCAAGACAGATAACAAAAGTAAAGAAAACAACACACTGGCTGTCTTAGTGACAGTGGCAGTCCTTACGGGTAGGCAGCCCCTGAAGTCTGCTATCCTGAGAGGTTGCCTCCCTGTCAGGCTTCCAAGCCCGATATCTTCTGCTGCTGCAAGTCCCAGAACCTGCCCCCACCTGAGCACAATGAGGGGCTTCTGCTCCGTTTCTTCCGCAAGACATATGCTCCCTTCCTGCTGCACAGGATCACTCGCCGTGTTGTGGTGAGTGGGTTGAGGGGTGCAGGACCACACCACCCAGGTGGATTACCAGAGAGGAGGATAAAGAGTGGAAGGGTTGCTTGGGAGGCTGAGGCAAGAGGATCATAGGCTTGAAGCAACCTAGTGAGACTCTGTCTCAAAATTAAAAAGGGCTGGAGATGTGGCTCAGGGTTCAATCCCTGAGTACCTAAACAACAACAACAACAACAACAGCAACAAAGAACAACAAAAAAGCCCCCCCCCCAAAAAAAAAAAAAAAAAAAACAGTGAAGGGGTTGCACAAGCCCAGGAGGCTGGAGCTTGAGTCAGCCCAACTCCAGGATGTTTCCCACAATGCCCCAGCCAGATTCAACTCTGGGAGAAAATGGGAGGTATGGAAGGTGGTGAGGTTCTCACTCAGCAGTTCTCTCCTCAGCTGGTATTGTTTCTGGCCCTGTTTGGAGTGAGTCTCTACTACATCAGCTACCTCAGTGTGGGGCTGGACCAGGAGCTAGCTCTGCCCAAGGTGAGCCTGGGGAATCTTCCAAGCCCTTGGTCCCTTGAGATTTGGGAGGGGAAGCAGCACCCAGCAGGTGGGGATTGTGTGGGCCAGGGCATGCAGAATTGCTCACTATCCTCTGTGAACCTGGAGTGGGAAGCCACATCCATGTTTGAAAAGTGCAAAATCTGAGTACCAGCTTCAGTCCATAGTACGAGAGATATCCTGAGTCCAGAGGGCTGTCCATATGAGTTGGCTGGTCACAGGAAGTGAATTGTCAATTTGCTGAGCACACACCCAGTTTGTAAAATCCTCATCAACWCTTATTGTTTTCTAAGTTATCTCCCGTCGTGCTGGGGACTGAACCCAGGGCCATGCACTTGCTAGACAAACACTGTACTACTGAGTTAAACCCTCAGTCTATTTTTTTTTTTAAATAATAATCATCCTAATGTGTGTGAAGGGGTATTTATTTCATTGTAGTTTCGACATGCATTTCCCTAATAATTAGTGCTCATTGGCCATGTGTATATTTTCTTTGGGAAAATGTCTATTTCAGTCCTTTTACTCATTCGTTTTTTAATCAGTCTCCTTGTTCTTTTTGTTGTTGAGTCTTAAGAGTTCTCTGTGTATTCTGGATATCAGWCCTTTGTCAGATATGTGATTTGCAAATGTTTTCTCTCTTTCTGTGGGTTGCTTTTAAATTCTGTTTATAGTATCCTTTTATGCATGAATTTAAAAAATATTCATAAAGTCATATTTATTCTATTTTTTGTTACCCATGCCTTTGGTGTTGTATCCAAGAAATCATTGCCAAATTCAATGTCATGAAGATTTACCTTTTCTTCTAAGAGTTTYATAGCTTTAGGTCTTATATTTAGGTATCAATTCATTTGGAGTAATTTTTTGTAATATGATGTTGAAGGTCCAAACTTAATTACTTTGCATGTGGATATCCAGTTTTCCTGACACATTTGTTAAAAAGTCTGTTTCCCCATTAAATGGTTTTGGCTTTCTTGTCCAAAATCATTTGACCATATATGTGAGAAGTTTTTCCTGGATTCCTATTCTGTTCCATTGATCTATATGTCTGTCCTTACGGTCATTATGCCAGTACTACACTATTTTGAATACTGTAGCTCTACTTCAAGTAGAGTATGCACCAACATGTCCATGATTTTAGTTCTGGTTTCAACTAACACCTTACCATTTTTTCAACCAAGTGYTGCTTGTATCAAGTAGAAGCCCAGGGACACTTTCTGTTCATTATTTTTTTTTCTGTAAAAATGGGCCATATTTTTATTTTTCTTTGTATGTTTTGAAATTTTATTTTTGTTGTTGAAAAATGAACACTGAGTCTTATAATGTACTCTAATTTGAGTTTTACATTGTAGCTTTATAATATATTCTGGAGATCATGCTCTCACCCTGGCCCATGATTTGCTTTTTAAAATTGTTCATTTTCTTATTTATTATTAGTATCTCTGTGCTGGGGATTGCCTAAGGTGTAGAGTTAATATCTTCTTAGGTCTTTTCTGAGCTTGCAACTTTCTCTGGGCACATGTGCTGGTGTCTAAATTCTCCCATTTTTGTAGATCTTTTTGAATATTTTAGTTTAAAAATGTAYGGCCCAGGGGCTGGAGTTGTGRCTCAGTGGTAGAATAGTCACCTCACATGTGTGAGTCGAGTTCAATCCTCAGCACCACATAAAAATAAATAAATAAATACAATAAACGTATTTAAAAAAATGTATAGCCCAAAAGGAGAAAAAAGGAAAAATAAGGGAGGAAAAACAAACAAGTGTTTACTCTTTGAATCCCCTTGAAGTCACTTTAGCAGGAGGTAAAAAAGGTTGCAACAATGGTGGTGGGAATAGCAATAAGGACTGCTTGTCTCTGTGTCAGCATCACTAAGATAGAAGCAATGATTAGTGGTCAGAACTAAGATATTTGATATCTGAAAGACCTTATTTCCTGTCCTGGCTCCTGTAAAACTTGTGCAAGTTGCTTCTGGAATGCATACACAGATTCATGCCTTGGATGGGGTGGAGAATGAGTAGTTATTACTGTGCTGAGAGCTGAAATTGACAGAAGTAATTATAATTTACCATCCAAGCTTTACTCTGGAAGCTTCCATCCCTCAATAGAGTTCAGAGTCCTGAGTTAGTTACATTAGATAGGCCAGTGCCTTTCCTGGTCCTTCCTATTCTGCCATCTTCCCTGCTTTCACTGAGTTTTTACATTATAGATGGGAACAGACCATGAAGATGCCTGGTGCGTGGCCTCTAGTGTATGCACACAAATATTTACAAGTATATGCAAATATGGGCCAGTCACAGTTCAGCTTGTTAGACTGGCTGTGGCAGACTGGAGATAGTGGGAAGGGATAAAATTATGTGCCATATATGTCCATGTTCATGAGTTTGAGAGTGGGGGGTCGGGTAGGGTGGGTGTGTTGCTCTGAGCTTGTTCTTCTTTATAAGCATATTTCTGTGCATGTACCTGTGATTATACCTACATGCGTGAACATCAGAGTATGTATATCTGTAGGTATATCTGAAATCTCTGTAACTGCACTGTTCATCTGGGAGAATATTTCTGTTGTGTACTTCTCTCTGTCCCTCTTTATGTATACCTTGTGTGTGACCTCTGAAYGTGTACTATGTGTACCTCTGAGTGTACTTCTGTGTGTGTACCTTTGCATGTACCTCTGTGTGTACCTGCATGTTTCCTCTGAGTATACCTCTGCCAGAGGCTTCACTTTGCCCCCTTGTGCCCCTCTGGATCCATCCCCTTCTGGGGTCCACAGGTCTACCCACCCTTGAGCATGTACTTCTAGGGGCACATATGGTCTCCTGACACTCTCGGATCCTCCTTCCCAGGACTCATACCTGCTGGACTACTTCCTCTTTATGAATCAATACTTTGAGGTGGGGCCCCCGGTGTACTTTGTTACCACCTCAGGCTACAATTTCTCCAGTGAGGCGGGCATGAATGCCATCTGTTCCAGCGCAGGCTGTGACAGCTTCTCCTTAACCCAGAAGATCCAGTATGCCACTGAATTCCCTGATCAGTAAGTGCAGGCCAACCCAGTACCCCAGCCTGCTTCCTATCTTCATCCTCCACTCTCCTCCTGTGCCCTCTTACTGCCTGCTTTGCTACTGCCTAGCCCACCTGCAATCAAACGCCTGGGGAGGCCTAGCATGGGGGATAAGCTACAGGAATGACCCACTACCCTCCCTGCTAGTCCTGGCCCCTTACTTCCTCCTGCTGTCCTCAGGTCTTACCTGGCCATTTCTGCCTCCTCCTGGGTGGATGACTTCATTGACTGGCTGACTCCATCCTCCTGCTGCCGCCTTTATATCTCTGGTCCCAATAAGGATGAGTTCTGCCCCTCAACCGAGAGTAAGTATGGGGCCTAGGGGGCTCATTGCCCACTACAGTTTGGGGAAACTGAAGCAAGAGAAAGGAAAGGAGTGGTGAGCTCCTCTCTCAGCCCGCTACCTCTACAGCAGTGACCACTGGGGCCAAGGGCACAGAGTAAGCCTCAGGAGTCCCTGAGGAATACTTGGGTGTGTGACCCACCAGCATTCATACCCTTGTGTCTCTTAAGAGTATTGTGCCATGCTCAGGGGGCATGTTTACCATGGGCATTGGGTGGAGGAGTCAGGAGTAGAGCTAAGGCTGGTGCACGATTTTGCATCAGTATCTGCTGCATTTGTAGGGAGAGGGAGAGCCTGTGTTTCCTGCCCCAAACTCCCCTTCCCCACCTAATCCTAGGTGCCAGGGTTTCTATAACTGAGGGGATCATTTCCCACATTTAGAAATGACAAATGCAAATCTCCCTAGGAGCTGGGTGCCTTAGATAGGGGCAGAGGAGAGGGGATTCAGAGCAGGAGCTGCATGACCTGAGGTGCTGCTGCTCACAGTCCCCCTTCTCTACAGACTCCTGGAACTGCTTAAAGAATTGCATGAGCTTCACCTTGGGCCCCGTGCGGCCCACAGTGGAGCAATTCCACAAGTATCTTCCCTGGTTCCTGAGTGATGTGCCCAACATCAAATGTCCCAAAGGGTAGGCTCAGAGAGGGGCTTCCACTGGGGAGGGTGGGTAGACCTGTGGACCCCAGAAGGGGATGGATCCAGAGGGGCACAAGGGGGCAAGGTGAAGCCTCTCTGGGGTGCAGAGAGATGAACAGACAGGAGGAGGCCTCATCCCACTAATCCTTTGTCCTGGCCTCCTCCTTACAGTGGCCTGGCAGCATACAGCAGCTCTGTGAATTTGGGCCCAGATGGCCAGGTTTTAGGTAAGCATGACCTTGTTTGGTRGGAAGACCCAAAGTCAGCTGCTTCAGAGGTCCCTAAGGGTCCCAGGAAATAACCTTTCTAACTTACATCTTCTTTCCTCCCTCCTATGGGGAAGGGGACTGATTCTAATTGTTCAGGCCCTGTTAGCAAGAGTCCTATTTCCCAAGTCCACATCCTCACACTTTACTCTTTCTTCCACCTCAAGTTCATGATCAGCATGAACTTTGTGACATTCTTTCAGCAGCTTCTGTCATACTTAGGAGCCTCCTACACTAACCCTGGGCTAAGCACCTTTTCACAAATGCATAAATCATATCCAGATGTCAGCAGAAGGCAGATGGCTGAATGAGTTAGGATGTCTTGCTATAGTGCAATCCCAGCAACCATCAACAGCAAAAAGGGATACACACAGGAAAAAAGGACCATGATGTTAGCTTCATACAGCAGGTGGTAGAACCAGACAGCCATCTGCATGAGAAGTCAGCTATATCTAACTCTCTATATATACACTCAGCATAGGGACCCCAGTGGAGCAGGTGTGGAGATGGGTCTAAGGGTGGGTGAAGGAGCTACCAATGGATTCTCTCGCTTTGTAGTGAAACAAGTCACAGTTTGAAATCTCAGCTACAAATTGACTGTGTAGCTTACTCACTCACCTGCCCAATTAATTCTTCCATGAGATTCCCATCTTATAAGAAAGGTACCCCCACATCTGCCCCAGCCCTGGTCCTTGGGCAGTACAGGCTATGTAGAGTCAGTGTGGACAGAAAGGGGTGGCATATCTCAGTTAGGAACAGAGAAGCAGGTCATGTTATGGAGGGGGCATGCAGGGAGCCATTCTTCCATTCCATGACCTGGGGCAGGTTTGTACCCACCTCCAACCTTAGTCTCCTCATGTGTGCACTAGGTTATTCTACAGCAACACTTCTCAAAGGGAAAACCCTGGATATGCATCACCATCACCTGGAAATTGTTAGAAATGCAAGTTCCCAGGACTCACCATGACCTACCAGACCTAAATCTCTGGTTTGGGGTGGCCATCTGGGTGTGAACCACTTCCAGGTGATTTAGAGGGCTAGTGAGAAGCTCTGAAGTCACCTTCCTGCTTGAAGATTGTGTATGTCCAGGTCCACTTCTCTTCTTTTTTCCTTTTTTCCTCTACATAGATCTCTTATTTTTTTCCTGATGCTCATGCCACTATACACAATTAAGAAATAACTTTTATTATACTTGCTGACAGGAGCCATAAGCCACAGCTATTATAATTCAGTGGTTTTCATTTTTCTGTCTTCTTTTCTAGTCTTTTCCTATAGGAATATATGAATTTTAAACACAATTAATTTGAAAAATCCAATGCATATTTACAGGGAGGGATTTAGGTTCACAAGGGAGATTTCTTTGGGTTCTATCTATCAAGGTCAGGCCTGGACTTGGGCCTCCCACAGTGGTAGGACCAGCTACAGAATCTTTGAGGCTGGTACAAAATGAAAATGCAGGCCCCTTACACACAAAATTTACTATGAATTTGGATGGGGGTGGCAGAGCTCTGAATCCTGTCATTGTCCTTAGAGTGCTTTGAGGGTGTCCTGAACAGTTTTGACTTTTTTTGAGGGGTTACCAGGGATTGAACTCGGGAGCACTCAACCACTGAGCGATATCCCCAACCCTATTTTGTATTTTATTTAGAGACAAGGTTTCACTGAGTTGCTTAGCACCTTGCTTTTCTGAGGCTGGCTTTGAACTTGTGATCCTTCTGCCTTAGCCTCCCAAGCTGCTGGGATTACAGGCATGCACCATTGTGCCTGGCTACCTTATGACCTTTGACTTTCCTTCTCCCATGCACCATGGCCATCCAGCCTCCCAGTTCATGGCCTACCACAAGCCCCTGAAGAACTCACAGGATTACACAAAAGCTCTGCAGGCAGCCCAGTTGCTGGCAGCCAACATCACTGCTGACCTGCGGAAGGTGCCCGGGACAGATCCAGACTTTGAGGTCTTCCCCTACACGTGAGGACCTAGGGGGCTGGGCCAGAAGAAGGTGGGGGTAACTGTTGGAAATGGGAGGTCAGAGCAGCAGGTTTTTGAGCAGTTGCAAGAGACAAGGATCAGCTTCAGATCTGAAGGCTCCAGTAGTGGCCTGGAGCCTGATCATTTCCCATGCTGGTTAATACACCAATTTGTGCCTCTCCAGGCCTCAGTATTCTCCTTCTGAAATGGGGGGATCCTGCCCATTAGAAAGGCACTCAAGGCCTGTGCTGTGACCATGCTCTCTGGCAGGATCACCAACGTGTTCTACGAGCAGTACTTGACTGTTCTCCCAGAGGGAGTCTTTGCACTTGCCCTCTGCTTCCTGCCCACCTTCATTGTCTGCTACCTCCTGTTGGGCCTGGACATACGATCGGGCCTCCTCAACCTGCTCTGCATCATCATGATCCTCTCGGACACCATTGGCTTCATGGCCTTGTGGGGCATCAGCTACAACGCTGTGTCCCTCATCAACCTCGTTATGGTAACTTGATAAAGAACCCTTGGAGGGGTGGTTGGGGATCCAGAGTCATTGGATACTCCCAGTTCTGTACAGAATTGATGCCTGCCACTCTTGTCTCATTCCCTACTTCTTCCTCTGTCTTCTCAGACAAAGCCCTCTCTCTCCTATAGGCAGTGGGCATGTCTGTGGAGTTTGTATCCCACATCACCCGCTCCTTTGCCATCAGCATCAAACCCACCCACGTGGAGAGGGCCAAGGAAGCTACCATTTCCATGGGCAGTGCAGTGAGTGGCGTGGGGTGGGTTTCCCTGTGCCCCACCTAACACTTTGTGTCCTAATTAACTCTTGGCTGTGATCCATCCTGTCAGGTATTTGCTGGGGTGGCCATGACCAACCTGCCGGGCATCCTCATCCTGGGCTTTGCTGATGCCCAGCTCATACAGATCTTCTTCTTCCGCCTCAACTTACTGATCACCCTGATGGGCATGCTGCATGGCCTGGTCTTCTTGCCAGTCATCCTTAGCTATGTAGGTGAGTCCTGGACCTGTTTTTTCCAGGCTGTTACAGTTATGATAAAAACCACAACAATGGTATGTGCCCTTCAGAAAAACTCAGGGAGACACAGCGCTAACAAAAAACGTCAGGAGCATGACATGACAGAGACTTTGAGTTTTRGAAGTTGCTGTTTTTAACTTGACATGTTGTGAGCATCCTTCTTTGTCAGTGGATCGTATCTTAAAGACTGCTTCAGTGGCCCACTCCCTGCACTGAAGTCAGATTTTAAAAAACATGATCTTCAACAACCAAGACAACAGCAACAATTCTGTTTTGAATTGCTGTAGATCAAACCAAGGGCTTTGCACATACTAGGCAAGTGCTCTACACATACCAACCAAGAAATATATTTTATGTTGAGAGGTGATGTGTGAGCAAATAGGTAGATACATAGAACTAAGACAAATGGTTCACAAATAAAATAATGCTTGTCCTTATTATATGTGAAACATTCTGACATTTTTGGTTCTATCCCGTCATTAATCTAAAAAATGCTGGTGTTAATCTACTAAGTTAATTTCATGACTACTTAATGGGTGGCAACCTATAGTTTGAAAACATCATGTTATTTTATGGTTCTACCATGATTTATTTAACCAGCTGCCAACTATTGGACATTAAATTATTTCTGATTTTACATTATTATTACCAGTGATGCAGTGAGTGAACTTGTGGCTAAGTCTTTGGCCTAATCCTCCAATATTTCTTTAGAGAAGGCCTGTGGATGTTGATTGTTAATACCAATTATTAATACCCTTCAGAAAATTTTACCATTTAAACTTGTACCAGCAGCTTGTGCAATTGCCCATTTCCCTGTATCCTTATGATGGACATGGTTATTAAAAATCATGTTCTACACCAGGTACAGTGGCTTGGGAGGCTAAGACAAGAGATTGCAAGTTCAAAGCCAGCCTCAGTAACTTGGCGAGGCCCTAAGCAATTTAGTGAGGCCATGTCTCACCAAAAAAAAAAAAAAAAAAAAAAGGTGGGGAAAAATCAATCCCCACAGAGATTTAAACTAAGCCCCCTGGGATGAGGGTTTTTCTGGCTCTCAGGGTGGCGAAGGTATGAGGAGTTCAATTTTTACCCCTTCCCCACTAGACTGTATTAGAAATATAATATTAATAGAAAACATTTATAGAAGAGTATGTACACCAACATATTTGTGATTCTCTTGTCATCCCCAGAAGTAGATTTTATTATCATKCTCACTGTACAGATGAGGAAACTGGGACATCTACCCCAGATCACAGACTTGGTCAAATGAGAGAGGGTTGTAGCCCACAGTTGCAGTGTTCCCACTGTGACACCATATTCTCTTATAAGAACTTCATGACCCTCTTTGAAAGAGAAGATATGTGCACTGGGGATGGTGGGTGATACCCAAGAAAGGGGCAAGGAGGACCATCTCCTCAGGTCTGCCCTGAGAAGGGGAGACTCAGGCCTCAAAGCCACAGGTGATACTGCTTCTTGGAGGTTCCCAGAGTGCCTGGGGGTGTAGGGGTGGCCAGGAGTTTGCAGAAACTCACCCTTGCACATCAGTCAGAACCTCCCACCTTGAGGCTTAGATCACATAGGCAGTGACCCAGAAAGGCAAGAACAGTCAGCACCCTGTGGGATCATTGTGTCCTGAGTTTGTTGTACATAATAAGGAATRGCATCTCTTAGAGTAAGGTTAGCTATGGATGTTGGCACCAGATGTCCCAGGAAGAAAGGGAGAAAGAAATTTGGTTTCAGGGTTTTCCCTAAGAGCATGCTTACAAAGGCAGATGGGTGGGGTACCATGGAGGCTGGCTGAAATGGCTACTGGCAGGGTAGAACAAGTGCAGGGGAGGAGCAGGGAAGGCGCAGGTGTTGGGGGCTCAGGTCCTCTTTGATTGTGTCACTGTCTGTGTCCCCTGCCTGCCTACCTGAGTGTGGGTCTCTGTCCCTATATCTCTGCAGGGCCTGATGTCAACCCAGCTCTGGTCCTGGAACAGAAGCAAATCAAAGAGGCAGCAACAGCCAATGCAGCTTTCTGCCCGAAGCACTCCTTCTCTACCAACATGACCAATGTCTATGTCAACCGTGGCTTTGAGAATTCTCCCTCTGGTGCTGGTGCCATCAGCAGCTCTTTGCCCAGTCATGTGCAGGAGTTCTGATGGAGCCAGAGTCCATCTAGTCTCCTTGACTCTGTACCAAGGGACCATGAGGGTCTTCCCTGTGGTGGTGGTCTCTTAGCTCACACCCTCTGAGGGTCTGGGGGAGGCTGTTCCAGGAAAGTGGCTGTCACTCTGGTCATGAGGTACCCAGCAGCACTACTGGTGGCCCCTCTGCTCCTATAGCAGGTCCCTGGAGTCCATGTCACTCAGGTGTCTGTCCCTGTGAGGTAACCTCCTACTTGAAGGCTCAGGTTTGGGGGCTGTTGGGCAAAGACACATCCTGTGTTTGTGTCAGGCCCCAATTCTCTCATGGGTTCCTTCTTACCCACTTTCCCTCCTTTAATTCTCTTGTCAAAAAAGTCTCCATTCTTTGTAAGTCTTTAACATTTACCATTGTCCCTGAGAACAGAAACTGACCCCATCATGGGCAGTTGTAGGAAGGCATCTGTGAATTACTTGGGGGCCTTCACTTGGTATCAAAGCCAGGGAGATTTAGGTTTTATCCTTGGGAACTATCTTAGGCTCCCCTGAGTGCATTAGACTGCCCAAGGCACATGACCTCTCTCTCTGCTCTACTAGGAAGACCCTCAAGAGTTGGGCGTAACCCAATGGGACACGCCCACCTCCTACCTTATTTGGCAAAGAACATTCCATGGAAAACCTCTGATGTTCCCCAATATAAATAAAGCAAGTGGGGGGCTCCATTTTGCTCTTTTTAGTGTGGAAGTTCCATTCCTAAGATTGGTTAGCCTGTCCTGCCCGGCTTTTAAAATTACTTCCTGTGTTCTATGGTTTTTTTCACCGCCCTACTTTTCACAGCCTGCCCATTCTACCCAGAGGAACCCCATTTCCACCGCCCAYGAGGTGGATGTGGGTGGGAGGCTATGACATGACAACAAACAAGGTAAAACAGATCCCTTCAGACCTGCTCTCTTGTGTTTTTTTCTAGTGAGTCCCAGAATGATGTTCTCACAAATGCTTTGGTCATGGGTCATGACCCCACCTGGAAGATGGTGTTTGGTTTGGTCTCTAGTTCCAGTGACTAGTAAGGCTGTTGCCTCTGGTTGAGGCCACTGCATGTCTGAAGGCTGGGAGTTTTAGGGGTTAGGCGGGTCCTACCACCTCAGTCTCATGCTTAGAGCATAGCTTAGTTGGCTTCAAGTCAGCTCAATATGAGTCTCCATGGAGAACTCTCCAGAAGCAGAAGCTATAGTGGAGAGAAAAAGATGACTTGCTCTGTTGAAAGCACACARTTCAGGGCTGGGGATATGGCTCAAGTGATAATGTGCTTGCCTGGCATGCGTGAGGTGCTGGGTTCGATCCTCAGCACCAAATAAAAAAAAATRTTGTGTCCACAGAAAACTGAAAGACAAATATTAAAAAATTCTCGCTCTCTCTCTCTTCTCTCTCTCTCTTAAAAAAAGAAAGCACAGAATTCAATAAATATTTGTTGAGCAGAAATAGTATTTTAATGTCACATACTGTATTCTGGCTGCCTTTTTTTTTTTTTGCAAATAACATAAAAAATACATGTGGTGAAGGAATTTATGGAGATCTTAGTGTTAAGTTCTATTTCCTTTCCCTCTTTAAAAAGATTAACCAGCTGGGGAGAATGGTGAATGCTTGTAATCCCAGCGGCTCAGGATGCTGAGGCAGGAGGATCACGAGTTCAAAGCCAGTCTCAGCAACTTAGTGAGGCCCTAGGCAATTCAGTGAAACCCTGTCTCTAAATAAAATACAAAAAGGTGGGGGGAATACAAAAAAAGGGCTGGGGATGTGGCTCAGTTGTTAAGTGCCCCTGGGTTCAATCCCAGTACCAAAAAAATAATAATAACAACCAGACAATGATGTGCCCTTGCCTTGTAAGTGCCTATGATGAGTAGGATTAATTGCCTCTCAGACAGAGAGTGCAGAGACTGGGAGTCAGTGAGGGGTAGGAGGTGAAGCTTATCCCTTTCCAAGAATAGCCTGTAAGTAAGGAAAACCTGAGGAACCAGCAGAAGAACCTAAAAAAGATGTGTTCAGGAGGGAGAGACCCATATGCAAATACCAGTTTCTGGGAAGGTCTTTTACCAGGACAGTGGATAAAACTGTCAAGGAACTATCCAGATCTGCCTTGAGCCTCTTGGCTTCCCTCTGTGTCCAGCCCTTGCTTGGCTGAGGAGCTGCTGTGGCTTCCTATGCTTAGAGGGCCTGACTGCCTGTGACAGAAGAATGAGCAAAGGGTGAAAAGGAGTTAGAATTTTTGGAACATGCTGTTTGCTTTCTGGTCCAGAAGAGCCCCAAACACCAGGTGTTGTTAGTCCATTTTTTTCAAAGGTCACAGGCTGGACAGGAGGAAAAAGGAGGTCTGATAAAGGATGAGTTGCCAGGGAATAGAGGTTGTGGAGAAACTGCATAAGTTACCCTATTAAAAACACCACRGGCTGGAGTTGTGGCTCAGTGGTAGAGTGCTCGCCTAGCACGTGTGAGGCCCTGGGTTGAATCCTCAGCACCACATAAAAATAAAATATTGTGTCCATCTACAACTAAAAAATAAAATATTAAAAAAAAATGCCACAGGTGCAAGATAGATAAAGGGATCTGAGGAACAAAGTAGCTTCTGAGAAGAGTGACATTTCAAATCAGGGAA